TGGAGTCAAAATACATGGTATTACGACTCATATTTAATATGAAATTTCTCTTTAATTGTATGACACGAATTTGCTGTTCTGAAATTAAATATATTTCCTGGGGAAGTGAAATTTTGTTAATAAAGTCGTGCCAGTTTTTATCGCACATCATTTTACATAAATAATTATGCCAATCCTTATCCCTATCATGCTTAATAACGTTCGTTGTTGGTATATTTTGGTCGTTTCCTAAAAATCTTAACTCTTTTGAGAGAGAAATTAAAATTTTGTTTCGCTAAGTACTAAGATTTATATGCTTGAATTCAAGTTTGGCAAACTCTCTTTGAACATCTCGTATTTGGTGGCATTTTTTAATTTGGAATGTTTTATTTCAAATGTTGTACTGAATATATCTACTGAAAATGTTGTATTTTTTAAAATTTAACAAAATTATATTTGCCACATCTATATTAGAAATATTTACATCGCGCATAAAGTGTTAATATTTTTGTTTTGTCATGAAATTTAATGGATTTATAACTAATTTGGCATGCATTATTAAATGATTGGAATTTTAATCGTACAAAATCTTGAAATATTTTAAATGGGAAGGGATGGTTGCTTATAATTTTTTTTTTTAATATTTCTTCTTCAGAAAATGTAATTGATACATTTCGCATGGAATGTAATACATTAGTTTGTGCTATTTTCACTGGTGGTACAATGCTAACAAATTTGTTGGCCGTTTTATTGTTTTAATTTGTTTTCTAATTACAAAATATTGTTCTAATAGGCTATTATTATAATTTGTAATTTCGAATGCATTTATATTGTCCATAACTTGTAAATACCTTGTTGAACACAAATTTACATTTTCATTGAATTGTGTAATTGTACTCTCTTAAAAATCGTAAGCTATTTGTTGACTATCATTTAAAAAATTACAAAGCTCTTGCTCTTCAATAATTATTATATTCTCAACTGTTGTTCTCCTTACCCCAAGACTCCGCCAGTATTTGTTAAATACCCCCTACTTGGAAGATATTCTTTCAAAAATGTTATTTGCTAAGAGGAAAGTACTCTTCAGTAGCTTTCTAATGGAAGCAATTATCAATTTTTGCCACTAAACACATGTTATGCGTACATTTTGAAGGTATTTTCATTTAAATTTCTAAAGCTGAATGAGGTCAAAATCAAATTTATGAAAAAATTGGAAACGTATGACAGCATGAGACTACCTTGTATAATTATGCCATGGAAATTGCCATATGTTTTACACGACGAGCTCGATTTGCATGTGTAAAATAAATTTAGTGTAAAAACACCTTAGGAGGCAACAGAGTTTATGTGAAGCGATTTTCTACTGGAAGTAGAAAATGAAGTAATTGTGAGTTCCGCGTTTAATACCCACAAAAATCCATTGCTCCTTAACGGTGTGACCCCTGTGTTATTTCTTCTCCATATCTTCGATTCATTTATCTCCATCGATTTTAATAGGGTCTGGAAGACACTGAATATAACAACTTCCCTGAAGAAGTTTCCCCAGTCGATCCCTGTGCGCTTAGTTATTTTGGTTGTTTATAATCGCAAGCGCCACGGCTACGCCCCAAAAGGCTTCCATAGCGAAAATTAAAATCTCTTACAGCCCTACCTAAATTTCGACTAGCACGTTCGACGTTATTCACCATAAAAGTAAAACACATGCATCATATGAATGTTACCGATATACGTCGACGTACGAATTTGGATTTGTTTTTTTCTTTGGTTGCAAATAAAAATAAAACGTTAAGAAAATATAACTTTTTAAATAATAATGTGAAATATTTTAACACATTTTATATTTTTTTTAATTTTATTTCGGGATTTTGTTTACTTCGCTAAGTCTGTTTTTCCACAGGCAAATTTTTATTTGGCAAATACTGAGTTTGTTGGCAAGAGGGGTGCGAGGAAGAAAAACAGAAATTTGCCTGTTCAGAATTTGCCGTACACGCAAATTCTGCTTTGCTCTGTTCGTTGAAAACAATTTTTTGTTGACATTTCCTTTTGAACCTATTCGCTTTACTGACACACAGCCGGCTTTTGTTTACAAACCTGTTGCTTTAATTTGTGCAAGTGAAATTTAATTTTTAATTTTTGCAATTTATATAATAAAATATATAAAAAATATCAGTAGTGTTTGTCGGGTTATTTGGGATGCCATTTGTATTTTGTTTTTGCAAAATAGTCAGGCTTAATCCCAGTTTGTTGTTTTTATAAAAAATAACTATTTATTAGTGGGGAATGTATGGCATTGTCCGCCGAGGGGTAAGGCAGGGAAGACTATAGTTTCGGATCTCGCTACTGATCCTCATCAGTTCCCTTAGTTTTTTTGTTGGGATATTCTCCCCAGAAGCTATTAATAGCTTCTTTACAAAAAACCTTTCAAACCCAAATGTCTCTTGTGACAATTCGAAGTTCTTACGTTACCAGCGATACGACCCCAATGAGAAGTTCGTTTCGATTTGCAAAAACAACATACAAATGGTATCCCAAATAACCCGCCAAACACTACTGAAGTAGTAGGCGAGGCACGGTCATACTGGTTGGTTTATTGCTTTAACTAGCAATACCAACAACAACGTTACATTTCACCGACACTGCAGTGGGAAATGTATTGTGTGTCGTCATGCCTTGTGACCACGAATGCACATAACGTTGTTGTTGGTATTGCTAGTTAAAGCAATAAACTAAGACAGTATGACCGTGCTATTAATAGCTTCTACAACTTCAAAAAACTAGTGTTTGGCGGGTTATTTGGGATACCATTTGTATAAATAGTTGTTTTTTATAAAAACAACAAACAGGATTAATCCTGACTATTTTGCAAAAACAAAATATATAAAAAATTAAAATATTAAAAAAATAAAAACAACTATTTTGATTCGCAAATTTGGCAAAGAAAAATTTGCTAATGGAAAAACAAGCGAAAATTTCAAAAGAGAAAACAAACAATTTGCCAAATAAAAATCTGCCTGTGAAAAAGCGGACTAAGAGATATGGATTCGACGTATTTGGGTAATAATGCAGTACAAAACATTTTGCCATAGTGGGGATATTGAATATTTTTGTACGCCTCGTTCGAATTTAGGTAACGTTGTTATAGAGATATTGTAATAATACCCACCTCCACATCTAGTTATCGGTCTGTAAGAATTCATTACAACCACATATTTTAAAGTTGGGTTTCGGCCGTTTCGGACATATATGTCGGAGAGCATCTTCGCTTATCTGAACTTTTTACAACCACTCTAATAACGTTTTGACGATGGCACATTAAATATATAGTCCTATGGCACATTAAATAGGTAGTCCATTTAGCGATTAAGTGTCAAAGTGCACTATTTCTACTTGAATTCGATGTGCAATGTTGCCAACCATGTGAAATATTATAAAGAAAATTTTGACAGATGGTCAAGACAAAAACAAAGGCTTTTATCTTGATACATCACCTTATTATTGCATCATGGTTTTAACCATTTATTTGTGTGCCAGTGCGTAATATTTTTGTTTCAAGGCTTTCCTAAAAGTAGGTTTACACATGGTACAATTATTCAAGGTAGGCCATAGCAAATTATAAAACTAAAAAAAACGCGAAAAATGAATGAAAGGTTATGATTTATTCCCAAAATCCAGTAGGGAATACCATCAAATGTTTGTTTCTTCCATAACAAACAAATTACTTCCAGACGAACATGTTAAAAACATAATTTTCATTTCAATTAAATTTGAATGTGTTTATTTGACATAGTATTCAAAACAATACACACATACACAAAATATATATTTTGATTTGATGGAACAAGCCACCTTGAGAAAAAATTGTAATCAGTTGGTAGCTGTGCCCTACCTTGTAATAATTGTACCATGCGTATTTTGCATTTTCCAAACAATCAAACATTTCAAGAACATTATATTTTTTTCATTTCATTACTTTTCAAACAACCTTTTCATTGCAAAACTCAGATTATTAAGCTTGCCTCGAATTTAATTACGATATCTCGATTTAATTACTAAAACGAGCTTTGTTTACCTCGATTTACTATACAATATTAAATCCAATTATTAACTCGACTTTCAAGAAATTCTATGCTAAATCGATATAATTTCATATAAAACACTGGTTTGCCTCAAAAAATGCATCACTTCTCCTGAAAGTACCAAAACAAAACATATCGCAAATTAGTTCTAATTTTTGGTATGCAAAATATTGTATTATATGCTAAAGAAAGACTGTGAGCAAATCTTTAATTATAATTTGTTATGTAGTCTTCAAATTTGGCATGTAGCCCATGTTTCTACACCGCCCCCATAAAAAAGTTCACGCTTTTTGTAAAGGTCCACACATGGCATAATTTCAGAAGGTAGTCTCATTTAAGAATTTGATGATGGCAATCCTTTTTCATTTGGAACTTATCTATTAATTTTAAATAATATGAAAAATTAGTTCCATTAAATGTTATGTATGTCGATTGGCATATTTTCAATAAAATATTGAAAACATATGACTGTATGAGACTAACATTTGTAATTATGCCATGGGTCCACATTATCAAATGTTGATATTTCGCATTTTTAATAAATGATGGGTTAAAAATAAAAACATATTGAGTTGTTTTTTTCAAAATTCAAGCATTTTAAAAAATAATACGCATAGTCCACATTACCCCAAGTTCTCCAAATTAAAAAAAAAATATCTTGCGAATACGCTTTTTGAATTTTTTAAATTTTGATCTATTTTAAATCATATCGATTTAAAACTATAATTTAAACTCTCAAACATGTTTTCCTGAATCTCAAGACTTTTATAGAGGTCGCTAACCATTAATTTAATGCGGCATAATGGCAACTCTGACAATGTTTGTGAACAGTTTGAAAACCACTGTTTGACAGGCAATGAACTGTCATTTTAATTGACAGCAGGCATATTGGTGCAAATCTTTTTCTGGGGAGAATTCTTTATTGAAGTTTTCATTAAAATAATAAATTAAATCTTCAAAAGTAATATTTTAACAGAATTAATTAAAACATGGCCAACACAATTGTCAATAAAATTATTTTGGTTGCTGGTTTTGCCAGTTTACTGCATGCCGCATATTCCGCTGCCCATTGTAAGTAGAACGATTAGTGTGTTTGCATTTTGGTTGTGTGTGCTCTCGTTCATTCATTTATACAGCTGACCCTTGGATTTGGTTGTGAAATGGATGGATGCATTTCATCCTCAGTTACTAATTTACATGTTTTCTCTTACTTTCAGATCGTACATATTTGCGTTTAACTGAACAGGAATTCACAAAACTACCATTGGATGTAAGTTGGAAGTAAATGATTAACCTCATAATAAATGCGAAAATGTGGAATGCTCCAAAAATTGGGTCATAAGTTGGGAAAGGAATACAAGCAATGAAATTAAAAAAGAATTAGAGTTGATTAAGATTTAAGAGTTATGAGACCACTAACTCCTAGTATATTTTCCGAGAGTTAAGGTAACATTCCCTTTCGCCAATTCCTTTTCGTATGCTGTGTCCAAAGTGCAGATGGGGTTAAATGATTCGGTTTGGCTTGGAAGTTAAGAAGTAGCGTATCGTGTAGACCACTACCATATGCCGGGCAGATGTTTTCCAACGTGACATCGATTCGTACCCAATATGAATTGAGCGGCTACACCATCCAGATTTCAGGGCGACATTCTGGCAGTATTTAATATTTTTCCATTGTGTTGCACTAATGTTAACGGAGTAGTGAGGTTTGCCTTCTTTCTACGTCCCAGTTGATTTATCTTCATAGATATGGTTATGGGCTTACTTGGTAGAATTTGCCCCGCTTGTCAAGAGAGGGAGAAAGAGTATTATCGTGAAATTACCGACAAGATGATAGCATTGAATATCCTGAATCATGAGTTACTGTCAGTCTTTTTTATACTCTCCACCGTAGCATGGAGTGTATATAAGTTTTGTTTTTCCGTTTGTTACGCATCGAAATAATCATTTCTGACCCTATAAAATATATTCTTGATCAGCGTAAAATTCTATGCCTGTCCGTTTGTCTGCAGGCAGGTCAAGTTGGAAGATGGGCTATATCGGTCCACGTTTAGGCATAGCTCCCATATAAGGGTACATCCCAAATTTCGGTATTTTAAGGTTCTTGAACGCGGTTTTAACCGAATTGGCTGTATTTTAGTACTTTGAGTTTGCTGTTATTGGGTAGCAAATCTCTCCCTTAAAAATTATAAATATAGGTCAATTTTTTCTATTAGTTAAGAATATGCATAGAATCACTTCCTGAGTCGATTTATGCATGTCCGTCTGTCTGTCCATGTTAAATTGTAAACAAAGTACAGGTCGCATTTATGATTCGAATTGAATGAAATTTGGAACAGCCCATTTGTTTGGCCCAAGGACGAACCCTATTGAAATTGGGAAAAATCGGTTAAGATTTAGATATAGCTCCCATATATATTTTCGTCCGATTTAGGGTAAATGGTGTACCAAAGTCCCTACATATCATTCGATTTGCACGAAATTTGGCACAGCGTACTGAATTAAGTCTAGAATTTTGTGTGTAAAGTTTCGTGAAAATCGGTTCAGATTTAGTTTCCTTCCGATTTAAGGTAAGTGGTGTACCAAAGTCCCTATATATCTTTCGATTTGCACAAAATTTGGCATAGCGTACTGGATTAAGTCTAGAATGATGTTCGCTAAGTTTCATGAAAATCGGTTCAGATTTAGATATAGCTCCCATATATAGTTTCGCCCGATTTTAGGTAAATAGTGCACCAAAGTCCGCGGGAAATCTTTTCATTTGCACGAATTTTAGCATTGCGTACTGAATTAAGTATAGAATGTTTCCCTGAAATCTGTTCAGATATAGATATATAACAAAGACGCGACGTCTGTTAGGATATATATGTAAAATATACCCAAAGTGGTGAAGGGTATCATATAGTCGGCCCAGTCCAACTTTTTTCTTTATTGGTTTTTATTTTAAAATGGTTAGCTGATGTGTTCCGTGTGTTGGGGTTGTCCCCATATAGAGGTATTCTGCCATAGTATGGGGGATAGTCGTTTCTCGGAATAGACAGTTTTTACCCAACAAAGTGTGCAATTCTTAGACGATTTAGAGATCTGTTGTATATATTCCGCCTTCTAAAGATATTGTCATAAAAAAACTCGAACCTGACGATAATGAAATATATCTGCAGGCATTTAGACATCTCCTACGGTTTATATAATTCTCGGTATAGATCCACTTGTAGGTATGTTCCTTATATTCTTTATTAGGTAAATAGTGCACCAAAGTCCGCGGGAAATCTTTTCATTTGCACGAATTTTAGCATAGCGTACTGAATTAAGTGTAGAATGTTTCCCTGAAATCGGTTCAGATATAGATATATAACAAAGACGCGACGTCTGTTAGGATATATATGTAAAATATACCCAAAGTGGTGAAGGGTATCATATAGTCGGCCCAGTCCAACTTTTTTCTTTATTGGTTTTTATTTTAAAATGGTTAGCTGATGTGTTCCGTGTGTTGGGGTTGTCCCCATATAGACGTATTCTGCCATAGTATGGGGGATAGTCGTTTCTCGGAATAGACAGTTTTTACCCAACAAAGTGTGCAATTCTTAGACGATTTAGAGATCTGTTGTAATTATTCCGCCTTCTAAAGATATAGTCATAAAAAAACTAGAACCTGACGATAATGAAATATATCTGCAGGCATTTAGACATCTCCTACGGTTTATATAATTCTCGGTATAGATCCACTTGTAGGTATGTTCCTTATATTTTCATTGCAAGTACCTTTCGTATACCTATGGTGGAGGGCATCCAAAGTTCGACACGTCCGAACTTAACGTTTTTTTTTCACTTGTTTAAATATCTTATTAAATACTCCATTGTAGTAACTTAACTATGAATCTGTCAAATCACCATCAATATCCTTGGAATCATTACTATAGAATAGTACGACTATCAGAAGTGTATATGAACAAAGCATGCCCAACGTGTGTAGACACGATCGTTTCTGTGAGCTAATTGTCATCCAAGTCACATGGATTAGAAAGAATGGTTCGGATTGCCTCACATACGACCTGGGAAACTAATATATAATTCCTGCTTTATGTTATATTTTCGAAATGAAATGTTTGTACTACATCAAATGAGTTTCGAAAGAGTTTTACTATGTATCTCAAATACCACATATTTCAGCGTAAAATTCCTCCATAAAGCAAAAGTTTATTAGTGTGCATAAACATAGTTACATATATCATCTATTATCTTAGAATACATTGCTGCTGAAAAAAAAGAATACAATGTGGCATATCAATATTTCTTCTACCGGAGAATATTAGATTCCAAATCAATATTCCCTTTATTAGAAATATGTTGAGCAATATTATTGGTTTAATATTTCTCTGAAGATTATTTTAAATATGTATTTATATTTTTTTTTTCTTCTTACAGATTGTCGTTCAAACAGTCATCAGTTTGATTGTTGTCATCTACAATGTCATACAAATTGTTGGCAATTTCAAGGAGATTCGTGCCACCGTTGATATGCAAGCCAAATCATGGGATACTTTGGGCAACTTCCCTTCATTCTATACATTTAATCATCGTGGCAAGGCACTATCATCAACCTATGTACCCGAAGAAGAATCATCCGATAGTCCTAAATCCAAATTGGATTTGAATTCGTAAGAAATTCACACACACACCCAGAACAATAAAACACTAAAGAAAGAATTATAGTTTGAATTAGTTAAATAAAAATATGACTATGTTATAAATATAAAAAAATATATATTGCTATATATCGGACTATATAAATAATTATTTAAAACAATTAAAATGATGGTAAATATAATAAATAATTTCATATTGAAGTTGGTAGTTTATTTTTGTATTTTCAGTATGTAATAGTAACATATATAACTATTATAAATTTTATCTTATGAAATTTCAAAGAATGTAATAAAACAGCTTAAAGAATAGCCAATTATGAATAATACGTATATGCGGCTGGATCGAGATTTTTGAAGCAACATACAGTCACAATACTTGCTCACATTATGTTAAGCAAATGGTTTGACCGCGTATTTAAACTGTTTAACTTCATGTTATATTATAGAAGAAAGTCTTATCTATTAGTTTTGGGGGTCCTCGCGTTACCGTAAAGGGCTTTTTCAATGTTGTTTTTGTGTATTGAAAGAACATTAAGTGAAGGTAGAGATTGATGAAAATTTTTCTCTGCACAGTCGGACAGAAAGACTTTTACACATACACCATAAACGTATTCTAAACCACCAATGGATCCACGAAAGGAATACTGACTAACTTCCAATAAAGTTTTCCACCTCCCATTCTGCTATCCTACACTTCAGCGAATGATGATGGGATTATATATTACAATTGGACCAATGCGGATTTTGTTTTCCAAGAATATTATGTGAACCACAAGACCCAAAATACTAAATACGTTTCCATGACAGCGGGATCTACATTGTGTAAAAGCAATAGGGCTGCTACAAAAACAACAACATACTAAATAAAAAATACAACAGCTACTACTACAACTAAATAGCAGTGACAGGGGGCCTCCATTTGGTGTCATGGAAGGTCATACCCGTACATCACAGTACCTGCGTGGGTGCTATCGTCGTAACCATCCATGCCATAAGCTCATGGAGGTTTTGAGTTCTGCCATGTATTGAGATGTTTTCACGATCCATGAGAGAGGTCCAACGGTGCAAGAGAGAACCCCTAGGTCAACAGGCCTATCGAGCAGAAATTCACACGGAAACAAACCAAAAATGCAAATCAATAAAATGTAAATAAATCAAAGATCTGGAATTAAAATCATATTCCATAAACAAACGCTTCATATAACTGCAATTTTTTGGAAATATTTGACTCTCTAATGTCTTATCTTTATGCGTTTATGTCGTTGCCCATACTATGGGCCAATGTCATGTATTCTTGGGGTCCACTCAACATCCACAACAACAGTAGAACGTTTTGTACAGCTGTCGCTGGGTTGACAATCCCTGGCCGAGTCGAACTCCGGTCGTTCCGGAGCGTAGATCCGATTGTCGTGGGAACGATAGCCTCCTTCATTTCTCCTCGCATTCCAATTACATCAACCAGAAGGTGAAAGCTAGGAATAAAGTTCTGAAAGCTTTGGCTGGCACCTCCTGGGGCAAGGATAAAGAAACGCTGGTAACGACTTATAAGGCTATAGGTCGTTCCATCCTGAATTATGCTGCCCCAGTCTGGACTTCTTTCCTTAGCGACACACAATGGAGATCATTGCAAACTTCCCAAAATAATGCACTCCGTATTGCAACCGGGTGTGTCCAGATGACGAGCGTCGATCACCTCCATGAGGAGACCAGGATGCTGTCAGTCAAGCAACATAATGTGTTGTTGACTAGACAGTTCCTGCTGGCAAAGCCCTCACGACACACACCATTTATTCAATTGTCCGTCCGAGCCTACGAGTCTATTGCCCATAGACTTATGGCTAAAGCCATTAGAGGTGGCACAATTTCTCCGGCTACCCTCTTCAAATCCGAATTCCTAATTAATTAATTAATAAATATATTTTCCTTTTCCTTCTTCCGTTTTCTTCTATCAACATTTTCAGGAAAGAACTTTCGTCAACAGCCAACCTGTTACAACAACAACAGTAGAACGTCAGTTGCCTAGGCAAACGATAGTGGAAATAGTCCAACTAAAATCAGGATGGTGCAGCGTTATCAGTTCGTATTGAGCTGTATGATACCAGAAACATGTCTTGCATGCGGACTAGGACCTCACGGAACACTGTAGACACTTTTCTACCTTTTTCAACAGACGGAATATAATATAAACTCCCACGACTTGTCCTATTGAGGCAAAATGTGACATAGCGTATGGAATTGAGATTAGGATAGAGTGTGTTAAGTTTCATTGGAATCGGATCTGTCATATATATTTTCGTCCGATTTAGTAAATGGTGCACCAACTTCCGAAGGTTTATCGTCTCAAACGGTCAAACCAGCCCGATTGAGACGAAATTTTGGATAGTGTATTGAATTGAGTCTAGAATAACATGTGTTATGTTTCATTGAAATCGAATCTGATATAGATATAGCTCCTATATATATTTTTGTCTGATTTTATGTAAATGACACACCAAATTCCCAAGGTTTGTCCGATTAAGACAAAAATTGGAATAGCAAACCGTATTGAGCCTAGAATGCCATGTGTTAAGTTACGTTTAAATCAGTTCAGATTTAGATGTAACTCCCATATATAATTTCGGAAAATTTAAAGTAAATTGTGCACCAAAGAACCTATGTATTTCCCGTTTACACGAAATTTTGTACAGCATACTGAGTTGGTACAAACATCCAAAACTATCCTAAAACAATATGTACCACATTTGGTTAAAGTCGGTTCTCATTTATATATAGTCCCAATATCTTCTCAATTATTTTTTTTAATTTGATCTCACATTACTCACATTTCATTTGAAATACTTTTTCCATATTGGCGTAAAGCGTTATATAGTCGGCCCCGCCCGACTTTTTTTACTGGTTTTATACTCTCAAAATACCTAAAACCCATCAAGACGTGGACTGATATATTCCCATTCTAGGAGTAGTAGCAATGCAAGTGCAAACAATAAAAGTTCAATCTTAACCCATTAAAAGCCAACAACTTTTTAAATTAAAAATCATTCAAGATATATGTTTTTATGATTTTTGAGCCTAATTTAATCGTTTAACTCGTAATTTGATCATATGAGTTAAAAACAGAGTCCAAACAAAACAAAATCACAACAACCGCTGAAAAATGATTTGACATGAGTGTTTATCTGTTCCTGTGCGAATACAGTGGGGTTTAAATGGGTTTAACCCTTTCAGTGTCAAAAAAAATTGTTTGTTGGAATAAAAATCTAAAATTTTGTACTTAAAGGGCCCCATACACTATACATCATGCCGTACAGCATTTATCATAGTATGTGTTATTTTTTGAAAGTTTATTTATGTATGTGTGACACACACAATCCATGAAGAAAATCAAAATAGTTTTGATTTTGAAAATGAAACCCTTTCAATCTAGTGAATTTTATTCATAATGTAATTTTTTTTAAAATTGTGACAAAAATTTACGATTCAAAATGTGATTTTTTTGGACAAAAATCGACTTTTTGGAGTTTGCATTACACTAGTCAATCTCACATATACAAAAAGGGGTTCATCGCCATGACGGCATGATGTATAGTGTATGGGGCCCTTAAAATCATATAAAGCCTTAGAGTTTAGAAAAAAGAAACATTTTCATTTTAACCCTCGGACAGTTTCGTCTGTTTTTCAGCAAAAACAAAAACATCAATGTTAACGGAACACAGGATAACCGAAAAATCGCAAAGAAAGAGAGAATTTTTAAATGTCGAATATATTCGACAAAAACACTGAAAGGGTTAAATATTTCGTTATTTCAACGGACCGAAATTTTGCATTTTTGTCGGATTGGTTGCTGTCGCATACCTACTGCTTTTACACAAGGGACTTAAGTGACAGACATTGAGGAGTAAGAGCCGGGTTGTTTGGGATCGTAGACCGTTCTATCGTGGAAATATATATATATATATATATATACATATGGTAGGGACATTTCCAGTCCAATGGGAACTTAAAATAGCAAATTGAATATTTCATTGAGATATAAACGGAATGGTAAAATGTATGTACTCTCCACAATACCCTCTGCGATAATTAACCCAGCAAAACATAAGAGAGCTATAGATAATTGTAATTCGCCGCATAGCTGATAATTTGTTCTAAAATAACATTACGTTTTGTTACATCTCATCAGTGTCATCTTTAGTTGGACTAATAAACTATTGAAATATGAAGAATTTAATTGTTGGTCACAAGCTCCATCTGTGTATTGGCGCTAACAACAAAGGGTTTATGTACATAATAATTGAAAAATATAGTTGGCAACACAATTATTATCGATTATTGTAAAATCGAGCCAATTGCGGAATAAACCACACCCACGGTGATGAAATGTCGATTGATTTGAATCAACTGCATCGCATAATTTATACTCTGTTCCAGAACCTTCACCAATATTCTCTCAATGGAAATTGTTTCCGATTTTCCCCTTATAAATTGGAAAAGATATATCAAATATTTATCGATTGATGTTTGTAGTTTTTAGTACATAAGTATTTGACGCTATCAGTTTGTGTCTTTGATATCTAGTTGCGCCATCTAGAGACATAAATACTAATAGAAATTGTAATCGATATGTTTATCGATTTTGTGACATTTACATTTCGATTGGGACAAGTAACGACCATTTTTAGTACAACATTGTACGAAGCTGGCTGTTTGTGTCTTTGATATGATCGATCTGTGCCATCTGTTAATGTGATTTGATATTTCAAAAATAGTCAAGACACAATAACTTCTAACTGGAAACATTTTATGACAGATGGCTAAATTGAGAGATACATGAATCTTAAATCTGAACTTAAGCGAATTATGCCAGCACATCCCTTTGATACTGTGAGGATGTATGGAAAATCTTTGGATAGACAAAAATATATATCACAAATAGACAAGTAGACCATAGATAATGGGATAAGAAAATATTTTCTATCTCATTATTTAGTTTCATCCATGGTATAATTATTACAACTGATTACAAATTTTTCTTAAGGTGGCTGGTTCCATCAAATCAAAATACATATTTTGTGTATGTGTGTATTGTTTTGAATACTATGTCAAATAAATTCAAAATAAATTGAAATATATTCAAATATAATTGAAATGAAAATTATGTTTTAACATGTTCGTCTGGAAGTAATTACTTTGTTACAGCCTTAATTTGCATTAAAAATTTCTTAATTTGAATTAATATTTACCCCTATTGTTTGTCTGTGTGTATGATGAAAATTGTTTACATTTGTTTCGATATTTTTCGGGATTACATCTTTGGGAAATAAATACATGACATAAAGGAGGAATAGCAAATATGATCTTAGCAAAACAGCTCCCAATTTAAAAAATGTTTGAAATTTGCCTTCATTTCTTATTTTTATTTTCATAAATATATGTACATAAATTTGACAAGAAACAATTAATTTTCGACAGCATTAAATTCAGTATAAATTCAGTTTGATTTTGTGCATTAACAACACATAAAAATGAGGATAATGTACAAGTTAATTTGAATTAAGGCTGTTAATGCAAATTAAGGCTGTCGTCTGTCTAGGCTATTACCTAAAATTCAACTATCTCGTTCGACGTTTTTCACCTCAAAAGTAGAACACATGTATTTATATGAATGTTACCGAAATACGTCGAACGTACAAAATTTCAAGTTGAACAATTTCAACTTTGACAGAACGTATTTTTCATTTTTTTCTTTTGTTGAAAACAATAACAAAACATTCTGGAAATTTGAAATTTCGAATGGAAACTAAAAATATGTGGATTAATTTAATAAATTTTCAATTTTGTTTTGCGGTTTGTATTATTTGATTGAAGATATGGAATCGACGTATTTGGGTAATACGGCCGTACACAACATTTTGCCATAGTGGGGAAGTTGAATATTTTTATACTCTCCGTCGGATTTTAAGTAACGTTGTCATGGATGAAACAAACATTTTATGGCATTCCCTACTGGATTTTGGGAAGAAATCATAACCTTTCATTCATTTTTCGCGTTTTTAGTTTTGTGTTGAAAAAATGTCAAATAAACACAAATACTTGTTGCGCATATTTATTTTGTTTTTGGCAGAAGAAGCCACACCTGCATAGTTGCTTTTTTGTTATCCACCTCAAGCTGCCCTACCTTGTATTATTGTACCATGGTTTCATCGTGATATACAAAAGTGGTCCCACACATTAAAAAAATTGTAATCCGAGTTATCCCAAAGAAATAGCTGTAATTTGATATTCATGACTCCATGATACTTCCATTAAATTCGGTAGGTTTGGCAGTTTATTTGGGATACCCTGGTCCTGATCAGTTATATAAGTTTTTTGTACTCTCAAGAAATTTCTTTAACTTTACAAAAAAACTGGTTATGTCCAAATGCCGCTTGTAGCAAATCGATCGCATAATTGCACAAGGTAGTCTCATGCAGATATATCGCTAATTTGCTGCAAGAGATGCATAACTCAAAAAACGTGATTTTCGAGTTAATGATGCACGATTGTTCGCTATAATAGACATCATGTTGTGTAAAAAATTCATATGAATATCTCTTACACACTAAAATTCAGAAGTAGCAGAATTTCTTCTGCGCCATATAAAGTGTGAGAAAATGTAAAACTTAAAATGCATTTTCTGCAAAATCGATTTTTTTTGAGTTATGCCTGTCTTGCAGCAAATGACAACATTCAGCTTTCAAAATTGAAATGAAAATATATGCATATATTCTTCAACATATATGCACAACACGTTATCAATGGCAATAATAAAAAACTCTTTAATATTTTGAAGTCCCCAGCCTCTATAATGTATAAATAAATCTTGCAGCATCTATAGTTATATTTTAGGAACAATGATGATCGAAAAATGATGATATTTATTGCATTGAATTTTATTGACCTCAAGACCAAATTAAAAATATGCAATAAGCATAGCGTGTATATTTATATGCAATTATGAAAAGAATTGTCCATCTTAAAATACTTAAAATTTCATGTTAAATTCTTATGTTAAATCTTATAATAGGAATGTAGTCTAGTAGTCTTTGGTGTTTATAAAGTCCATCTTCGAGCCTGACAGCAAACATAGACCCATGAGGGACAACCGATCATGGCTAAATCGTAGTTGTGGATTATGCTAATATTAAATAAATTGTGGACACCAAAGCGGATTGACATGATTTACATATCCGGAATCATCAATCGCTGGGTTAACGTGAAAAGGCAATAAGTCCACTTTTTCTAGACATTGAGATTTTGATTCAGACATTCACAATAAGTAAACGTCAGTCGTTTTTAATTGGGAATTCTCAGTTACGCTCGCGCACACTTGCTCCCAAATTAGATTTGCCCAACACTGTTTTGTGGTGATGAGTAAAGGCGCTAAGTCAAATTTGTCACATGTTTCTCCTGTAAAATTGTAAAATATGGACTTATTGCTTTGACATGTTAAGTCAGCGATATGGGTTCATACTTAAAATTATTATCTTTTTTTACCTTCTGGGGACATTATCCCCAACAAAAAACTAAGAGAACTGATGAGCAAGATCCGAAACTATAGTCTTCCCTGCCTTACCCTTGGTGGACAATGCCATACTTTCCCCACTAATAACTACTTTTTTTTATAAAAAGACGAAACTGGGATTACGCAATTCCAATATAAAAATGGTATCCCAAATAATCCGCCAACACTACTGAAGTTAATAAAAAGTTCAAAAAGGAAATAGGAAAGTTAGCAAATATAAAGAAACAGACTATTTAGAATTATTTTTTATATAAAAATTGAAATAAAATGATTAAACTCCTTGTACAATAGGACTTTTTACCGGGTTAACCTACTTTATGAGGATTTATTTGATGTATATACAAAGGAATTGGCAATTGAAACCCACTGGGTTAACGAAATCCGGTTAAATGTAAACGTAATATTATAAAATATAATTTATTTCAATATTTTCAAATATGCCAATCGTCGTACGTAAATGGTTACGGTCTCAAATATAAACGTTATTTGAAAATTACAAAATCAAGTGCAGAGTTGTTGGGGTTGCCATCATCGATTTAGCAAATGAGACTACCTTTAATAATTATGCCATGTTAAAATCTTTAGAAAGTATACATTTTTGATTTTTTTTTAAATATGTCAATCGACATTTATAGAAATATAGGAATTTATTTTAAAAACAATTTGAAATTGATACCTTCTGTAATTATGTCATGTATTTACTTAAAAAAATACATATACTTGATAAACTGTATTTCTTTCCTTCTCAGTGCTCTTCAAACTTTAAATTACTAAAACCACGTTACGTGTTAACTAACTACAGAAAAATATTCGCATTTGATTGCGCCCAACACTCTTGTCACAAATCGTACCACATTGCTAGTTTTTACCAACACTGGTGTGTGTGTGCGAGAGTAAGTTACTTCTCTTCGCTCTCGGCTTAGCAGCAATTTATTCGTAATTTTGACATTGTGTGAGGCGGTTGTGTATCGCGGCTGATTGAATATCAAACAAAACAGAAAAATAACGGAAAATACGAAATATTAAATAATAATAAATTAAAATAAAAACAAAACCCAAAAAACAACAATTGATTGCATTTATTCAGAAAAAATACACAATAAAAATTGATAATAACATTTTGGAATATTTTTCAATATTAACAATTGAATACAAAACAAAAATATATCCTTTTTCGCAAATTAAGGGTGTGTTTTCATAGTAGTTATCCATCCCACGGTTAGTTACTATCATCGTTCGTTCGGTCGGTCGCCACCATCATCAAACTGACAAACCTAACCCAGCCCAACAAAAAAATAGCCCACGACAACAGAGTCAGAAGCAGCATCTATATACAATAAAAATAAAAAAGAAAAGCTTAATATTTACTTGCAAAAAATAGTGCAGAAAAATTGCAACAACAAAAAGTAATAAACAAATTTATAAATTGTAAATTAAATTTCCAAAAAAAAAAAAATCAAAATGTCGGTTTCCTCCAATGCTTCATCTGCCTCATCCGTATCGGGCGTTACCACCTCAAACGGTCGTCGTTCATCCCTGGGCCGTAACAGTGAATCGGGCACCGGTTCCGGCACTGACTCCTCGGAACTTTCACACATTTTGAATCGTCGCCAGGTGATTATCGATTCACAGGAGGCGGGCATTGAGGTGCCAGCCACCTTCAAGGTGGTCAATGTCTATACCGAATTTCATGAATTTTCACGCAAACAAATCAAGGAATACCAAAAAACCTTTAACACGTAAGTATCTTCCGACTGCATATATTTGAATTGGATATTGTTTTATAAATACACCGATTTTAGAGGTTGAGTGCGGGTAAATATTCTTCTAAGCCTATGTCAAGATCCTCGTCAAGGTCATTTTGTTGAATGCCGAATATTTTGTGTACTTGCATTTTGTTGGGATAAAATAAAATACCATGACTCTGGCAATACCTCCCCCCTGTCTGTGACAACATTCCCCTGCATAACGAATAAATTTCACAACACAACACCGAATCCAAAGGAATTAAAGGAGAAGATGACGAAGAAGAGGAGTAAGAAGAAGAGAAAAAAGCCCACATACCAAACCAAAGATTTACTGCTGGCTTGCCTCACCGCCCATCCTGTGTGCTATAGACACCTTAAATGTCATCTCTACCCAAAAACGAAAATGTTATGTCGTTAGGTCTCTATGTCATTGTTGGATGGTCGGATTGGTTGGTGCGATGCGTGTGTGTTTGCCCTTGTCATCCATAAATTATATATTATTTTTTTCACTCACGTGACTTGGCGGAGGCTGCTCTTGTGCGTACTTCTTGGCTCGTTTATTTAGTTAGGCCCATTGACATAACACTCGGCAGCAACAGCAGCACCATCATCACCTCTTGAACCTCCTCCGTTCCTATGTATGTATGTCTGCACATCCTGTGGTGCTGCTTGTTGGCAGGCTTTTTTCTGTGTGGCAAATTTCTGCTCTCCCCGCTGCTCGATTGAAGGTTTTGGCTTAGGGTTTCTTTTTGCAGTTCTTTGTTGTTGTCGTCATGCCAAAGAGTGATGGCGTAGAACTCCTTTCAATTCCTTTATAAATAATTTATATGCGTAGATGAATGTGCTTTTGGTTTTGCCAAGGATAAGTGGCATAAAAGAGAATCGACATAAAAGAAGTCGCCTTTAAAAATAGCTTACAATTTTTTTATTTTGTTTTTTTTTTTTAAGAATTTAACTACTTAAGTGTGGTACTACAAACGAAAATCTTTGTGGAAGCTTGCAGGCTTTTGAAATTGGAATTTTTAGGGTTATAAGAAAATTACTCTATGATTTGAAAATGAAGCTTTAGGTCAGTTGGTATTTTGTGGGCTAATATCAACAGTACTTTTCTACAGATTTTTTCGAGAGATCGTCCACATATTTTTTACCCTAAAACCATTTTAATGTCCTCTTAACTATATGGTTGTTTATTCCGCACTAAAATGTTTCAGTTTTAAGGTTGAAGGGGCGACTATTATGCAAGAGTTTCGGGTTTTTGAACTCTCTGTTGAAGAGAAATATTACTGTTTTCAGTGCATGACTACAAGATAAGAGTTTGTATTCGACTTACATTACTCGGACTTGTTTTTAAACATGTCGAAGTTTTCTCAGGACTTTTCTATTTCAACCTCTGAAACCTCTGAAATTTGCTATAGGCCACATTGGAAAAATTGTATTGTTAGTGACGAAAGTAAATTCAAAATTTACAGATCTGAAGGAAGACTACAAGTACGGCACCAAAAAATAACGAAGTATCACCAAAGATGATTTGAAGTAATCCGCAAAAACCCTAGCTCTAAATACTAACTGTTGTTTCCAAAAGGATAATCATCTTAGTCTTTTATTACATTAAGTAGTCAATATGACTTTTTTTGTCGAAAACTTTAATAACTTCCCAAACAAATAACGAAGTTTTGGCAGGCTTAAAGTCTTTACGTACTTATAACTTTCCTGATGGATCGGATGGTGTTCCCACACTCATTCTTAAATGATTCTGTATGTCAGGGTTAGTTTCCTATATTCTGGGGATTTAGTTATATTATTCCTCTACATAAATCTGGAAATAGGTGGTAGATAAATACAGATATATTGCAAAACTAAGCGCTGTACCTAAACTGTTTAAGCTTTGGATATGTTGTAGATTAAAGCATTTCCCAAATTCTATAATATCTACAACTACAAACCTTTTGGTAATCATTATCGGAGTTCACAAGGGTTTTAGTAAACAAATTTAGACCGATTTTACCAAGGCATTTGATACGGTACGACATAAACTTTTGCTTTATAAACTTAATCATGCATATTGTTTAGCTCAGAGGGGCTCCGCCGTTGGGAGTCGGTATGCCGAATGCGTGGAGCAGTGGACCGTAAGGGAGGGGTGTAACTTTTAGTTTTCAATGTAATTAATTCAATGTTTATTTGGTTGGTTGAGTAGTGGTAAACAATATTACCTTTCTACGCACAACGATATGTGCTTGCAAACGAGATTGCAGTGGCTGTCTGTCCGACTGACAGATTGATACTCCTCGATGCTTAAAGGAGGCGGCAAAAACAAGTGACAATTAATTACTCGTTAAAATGTCAAAGACGCTAAAGAAACAATTAGCGCATACATTTTAACGAATAATTAAGGACCAAAACAGGGGTCAATAAAAAGGAGTAACTCAGTACATTTCTAACTTAAACACATATTGACTCTTCAAGTCATTCCAATCTTTTACTGTTGAACTTGGATTATTTGGCTAACTGGTGTAGCGCCAATGGAAAGTCTTTAAATTTTAAAAACAAAGATAGAAGCTACCTTTATTTAGAATTTAACAAATCTGCATTGATCTGGTTTTTATCAGTTGTAAAATATTTGGTCTTTCATTGATCTAGGAATATTATTAGAACCTAAACTGTGGTTTAATCTCCATATATTCATTAACCGCTGGCCCAAAGAATTTGATGATCCTTACGTGACATAACGCCTGTTTATTACTTTAGTTCGACCAGTACTAGAATATTGTTGTATTTTATGCGGTCCCTCCTACAAGTATTATTCTGATAAAATAGAATCGGTTCAATCTCTATTTATTTAGATTGCTTTGCTAGGTCTACAATGGGGCCCACCTTTAAGGCTCCCCCATATGAAAGTCGCTTAATAATAATAGATTTGCCTACACTAGAATGTAGATCCTAAGGGCGATTTTTTTTTATAAAATGTATATGTGGCTTAATCAATTCCTCTTATTTATTAAGTGAAATACAATTCAATATTCCATCCCGTACAACCCGTAACTTCATCCCAATAAATTTACCGCTCATAAGACCTGATTATGAAGCTAGTAGTCCAATACGAACATTGTTTGAAATATTTACCAATATATACAGTAGCTTATTGCTATCTGAACCATTAAAAAAATTACTTTTGAGTATATAGAAGAGTACCAGATGTGGAGTTTATGAATTTTTTAGGTCCTCCTGTAATATATTTTAATTATATATATATATATATATATATATATAAAAGTCTTTGCAGGTTGATAAAATATGTAGACAATCATCCATAGAAAAAATAAGGAACCCATGCTCCCTGCAATGGATTAGTATTAGATTGATTAGTCGCCTAATCTGAATTTTATTGAACATTTATGTGAAGAATTAGAATTAGATTAGAAAAATTACTTTTGAGTATATAGAAGAGTACCAGATGTGAAGTTTATGAATTTTTTAGGTCCTCCTGTAATATATTTTAATTATATATATAAGTCTTTGCAGGCTGATAAAATATGTAGGCAATCATCCATAGAAAAAATAAGGAACCCATGCTCCCTGCAATGGATTAGTATTAGATTGATTAGTCGCCTAATCTGAATTTTATTGAACATTTATGTGAAGAATTAGATAATTTTAAGGGTAGGTCGGACCATATAAGAGCCCTGTCTATTTAGATATTCTGAAGGCTATTTCATTATTTATGCAATCAAGAATTTGGTTCATATCGAAAGGTCAACAAATTCTTCGTATCCCAAATTTTTGTTTGTTTCCTCGCTCTTCATTTCTATATTATATGTCTATATTCATAGTAAGAGGAAATCTTAAAAAGCATACATTTAATTTTATTCCACCACATTAAATTCTATCCCTAAAATTAATTAAATCTCAATTTACCATCAAGGATAATTAAATAAATTTAATAGCAATTCTAGGTTCTAAAGAAGGATATATTTTGCAGTTTTTAGGATTACCTGACTACTACTACTTTCTCTTCGTCTGCCAAAAATATTCAGTTGATAATTTGTCAAGAGAGAATTAGGAGAAAGGTTATTTGGAACCCAGTTAACATTTTGTTCTTGTGCCATCAATCAGAAAATATTGTTCTGGTCATTGACTTTTGACTCAATCCAATATCCAATGATAATGCAATTTTTTCTTATCACATTTTAAATATTTTCAAAGTTAATACCTTTCCAAATATAGTATTTATATATACAAGCTATAGCGATAATTTATAACTTAAATGTCCATTTTGAGACATTTCTCATACACCTAGGTCACATTTAAAACAAATAACTTAACTCCACAATGGAAAATTTACAGCGTCTGAACGAGCCTACAACAACTTCTCATTTCGCTCACACAATTTATTTACGACTACTTAATGTCTGCATTTAATTTCTTTCCGTTCCTACCTTTTCCTTTCTTGCACTTGTTGTTGTTGTTAATTTTTGTTTGATCCCATTTCAATATTATGATTGCAAACAAAACACGCAGCCACACAATGCCATACAAACAACAAATATTCCTACCCACAGCTAAACTGTCTGGCTGATATTTAATGGCCTCAGTTTAGTTCATCATAACGACCTTTCACATAGAAAATTCTTTCATTATCACGGCAAAGTTTGCATTTCGTTGACAGAGAGATGATTATCTCGCCAGTGGAACAACAAGTGCACGCACGAAAGAACGAATATACCGAAATAAGGTAATGCCCATTTGGTGATTTTTCCAAAAAATTCAGCTCTGGCTTCTCTATTTTGTTAGATAGCACTTATGCTGTTTAATATTTCAAATTAATGGAGGTCTTTGGCTGGTAGTTGGATCCGAAACAAAATGACAGAATTTTTCCTTCATTGGAAGTCTCCGTTTGGGAAATAAGAATCGAGTCCATTAACTGTTCACCGAAGTGTTCTTTCGATAAATTCATTGATTGATGCTATATGTGGGAAGAGGCGCAGTTTTGTTAA